CCTCATTGAATCCAAATGAGTACAAACCATCGTTTGGGGGCTTTGTGGATGTCGATTTATCCGAGAAGAAGCTTTCACTTAGGAGTCTAATTGATCATTCGGTCATAGAAAGCTTTGCAGAAGGAGGGATGACAGTTATCTCATCAAGGGTTTATCCGACATTGGCAGTTGCTGAGAATGCACATTTACATGTATTTAACAACGGTTCTGAAATCATAACAATTGAGAGACTAAATGCATGGTCCATGAAGACGGCTCGTGTCAATTAAATTCTATCAATTCATGTCATGTTTTAAAAAGGGTTGGGAATAATTCAAGGATCGGTATTATGCCATTTATATGTTAAAAAAGAGGATTGTATTTATCGATTAATAAATGTTGCATTAAGATATTTAATGACATTGAGTTCTATATCACCACCATTATTGTTGCATCACTCCAAACGTGAAATAAAAGTAAGATAAAAGAGGATGTGAGATGAAAAATTGTCAGAACTCACAACTTATAAGGATGTTGTCAAAATACTTTATATATATATATATTTATAATTCAAATTACGTTTTTGCATTACAACTAATGGACTGAATTTATAACTACTTCATACTGTCCTTCAAATTCGTTCAATGATAACCAAAGAACCATATAAGTTTGTCATTGTTTGAAATGAAAATCACTAAATATTAGGATTTTGTCATTTGTTATTTTCTCTAAAATATATGACCATTTCATGTCCACTTGTAGTAGGAATATTTCGAAATCTTGACCTAAAAGACTTGCATGTTTCTCTCAAATGATACACGTTTGTTTGAATGACATTGTATTTTATGGTATTAAAATTCACATATATATGCCAAAAATATATTTATAATAATATATCTTTTTTAAGATCAAGACAACTCAATATAAAATATTAATTATAATCTTTATTTCATAAGTTTATTATTTATTAAAATAACTAAAATTGGAAAATAATTAAAAATGAAGATAGAACAGCAAAATAAGTTTCACTCTAACGAATTTAGCGAAAGATCAGATACGAAAATGTGTATCTATGAAAAACTTCATCTTTGTGTATAAATTCTTCCTAAATCTCAATTTTGCTTTCCACCAACTCTTGTTCGTTTCATACACTTACATGCATTACAATATTGTGTCATCTTCTTTCGTCAATTCCACAACGTAATATGCAGGGTTTCAGTAGGTTTTCATGGGGTTTGTCATTGTTGATATGTCTTCTACCAATGTTCAACAACTTAGGCGGAAGAGATGGAGGAGTCATAGCCTTCCACACTCATGATCATCATAATCATCATCATAATCATCACCATAATCATCACCATAATCATCATCATAAACACACTCATACTCACGACACTGTTAAGGTAAAAGAGACATACAGAACTGGGTATCATTTCCAACCCAAGAAAAATTGGATGAATGGTATGTACATATTCTTCTTCTCCTTCACATGCATTTCATCCACAGTTAGTTTAATGTGCATTTGAATTAATTATGACATTCTTTTTTCTTGTATGAAATCGATGGGGACACAACTTTTATGAAACCAACATAGATCCCAATGGTACGTTCTCTCTTTAGAATTTTGTTTATTCTTTTTATATAAATGAGTTCAATATCTGATACAATGGTTTATACTTTATATGAACAGCACCTATGTACTACAAAGGAATCTATCATTTGTTCTACCAATACAATCCTAAAGGAGCTGTGTGGGGTAACATTGTGTGGGCCCATTCAGTATCAAAAGATATGGTCAACTGGATTCATCTTGAACATGCAATCGTTCCATCGAAACCATTTGACAAATACGGATGTTGGTCAGGATCCGCTACAATCTTGCCAGGTAATAAACCTGTCATCTTCTACACAGGAATAGTTGACCCAAAACCCGCACCAGGTCACCAAGTCCAAGTGTATGCCATACCCGCAAACTATTCGGATCCATATCTACGAAAATGGATCAAACCCGCTGACAACCCTTTCCTCAAGCCGACAAGTGAGAACATTTCAGCTTGGCGTGACCCCACAACTGCATGGTTCAACAACGGTCATTGGAAGATCATCGTTGGTAGTAGACACAACCATCGAGGCATTGCTTATTTGTATAGAAGTCGCGATTTTGTTACATGGGTCAAAGCCAAACACCCGTTTCACTCTAAAACGGATACGGGTATGTGGGAATGTCCTGACTTTTATCCGGTGTCATCTCTAGGAACAAATGGATTGGATACTTCAGCTTTGGGTAAAAATGTGAAATATGTGTTTAAGAATAGCCTTGAAGTGACTAGGTGTGAATACTACACCATTGGTAGATACGACCTTGGTATGGATAGATATATTCCAGATAACACATCTATTGATGGGTGGGCCGGGTTGAGATATGATTATGGAAATTTTTATGCCTCTAAGTCGTTTTATGATCCGAGCAAGAAAAGGAGGATTGTATGGGGTTGGGCTAATGAGTCGAGCACTAGCACTGAAGATATAACAAAAGGATGGGCTGGAATTCAGGTGATTCAATTTATTGTGTGTACATATCTATTTATTTTAATTATGTGAATGTGAGTATGTGACACAATGGCTTTTGACTTTATAATAACTTGATTTAATATATACTTCATGTAGTTAATTCCACGAAAGGTGTGGTTGGATGAGAGTGGACATAGATTGCTACAATGGCCAATCAAGGAATTGGAAAAACTGAGGCATCAAAAGGTAGAGATGAGAAACGTGAAAGTTCACAAAGGTGATACCATTGAAGTCGAAGGAATCACTGCAATCCAGGTTTGTATTTTCTTATAGTTAACAATTATTGTAGATCAACATTAAGCATATATATGATTGGATATGTTTTATGTATTGATTGTGATATAAAAACAGGCGGATGTGGATGTTACTTTTACGTTTAAGAATTTGGAAAAGGCTGAGATGTACGATGAAAAATGGAGGAACTTTCCACAACATGATCTTGGTAAAAGTATTTGTGGGGTTAGAGGTGCGATTGTACATGGTGGAGTTGGGCCATTTGGCTTAATGACACTAGCTTCAGAAAACCTTGAAGAGTACACTCCTGTATTCTTTAGAATCTTCAAAACTAAAGACAAAAAGTATAAAGCTCTCATGTGCTCTGATGCTACTACGTAAGCTTCCCTTCTCATTTCTCTCTATTATTAATTACTATTAGAGAAAAGATATATACCACATATATATATTATCTGATTTTGTGGATTAACATAAGTTTTAATATGTTTTGTGAATATATATAATATAGTTCCTCGTTGAATGAGAAGGAGTACAAGCCATCATTTGGAGGCTTTGTGGATGTTGACTTAACCAAAAAGAAGCTTTCTCTTAGAAGTTTGATTGATCATTCAGTCGTGGAAAGCTTTGCAGAGGGAGGAAAGACAGTGATCACATCAAGAGTTTATCCGATGATAGCGACTTCATGTAATACACGTTTGTATGTATTTAATAATGGGCATGAGACTATCACAGTGGAAAAACTGCACGCTTGGTCTATGAAGACGGCTCACATTAAATAGAATCACCCATTTTTAGGATAGTTGGTAATAAAAAATGGAAGGTAGTTATTATTGTTTTGTTTTTACTTTTATTAGTATGGTACTAGTTTAATTCTAGTTAAGTTCGTTACTATATATTTATTGAGGAGCTTAGTTTCAGTTGTTTATGCGTATGACAAGTAGAATGAAGATTGGGGAAATCCTTTTTTGTATAAATATTGTGTCGTTCAAAATAAATAAACGTAAACTGTACCTTGAACACGTATATAAACACCATGAGGCTATAGATGTGTCTTTGGCCAATGTTTGGAGGGGCTCGATGAAGATGGCCCTCGTTTTTTTTAAATGCAATCATCAATTGTTTGTAAGTGGTCTCCCATACTGCCCTCCATGGATACCAGTGACACCATCAAAACATGAACTATGCCTCAAAAATAAAAAATGACAATTAAGGTGTTATTTGTTTTTTCGAAACCAAAATATCTGCAGTGTGCGGACCACATCTGCAACCCTCTGCAACAGAAAAATTGGACTAAACGTCTGCAGTCTACAGATCACATCTCTGCAACCCTCTTCTACAGAAAAAAACGTCTGCAGTTTGCAATAAGAAATTTGTTTGTTTTTTAATGTTTGCATGTTGAAAAAACATACCAAAACATAATCTGATTTCTTACCAAATCATAATCCGATTTCTTATTATCAAAGCTTTAAAATTCTGATTTCTGATTTCTTAACTCATTACCAATGCAAAAAAATTCTGATTTTTGATATCTTAAGTCATTATCAGCAGAGATAATCTGATTTTTAGCATAAACAAACAATTATCTAGCTTTAAACAAACATCAAACATCCCATAGGATAATTTGATTTTGAAAAAAAAAAAAAAAAAAAGCCTAGAATAATCAAACATGAAAAAAAAAATCATCCACCAAACATCTCATCAAACAAATCATACTTTGAAGAAAAAAAAACCTAATATTCTAGAAATCAAAAATCATATGCATTTCTTTAAAAATCAGAAAACAATTGATTTCAAATCAGATGGGGGAAAGGAGAAGGAAAGTGTTACCTAAAAGCATAAGGAGAGGGAAAACCGGTCAAACAAGAGGAAGAAGTCGTGTAGAGAAGTGAGGATTTGCGTTCGTAGATGGTTGTGGAGGTCAAAGCTTCTATGTCCGATGGTTGCTGCGTCTGGTGGACAGCGATTCTTGCGGTCGGTCGGAAACAGGACGACAACCGATAAGGGACAACTGGTGCAGGAACAATCAATGATGAGGAGAGGTATGGAGGCGCTAAGAGAAAAGAGTTGCATTTTTTTTTTAGTCCATGTGTGTAAGAACATATGTTTATGCTTGGTCTCCACGGCACATAAAAAACAAACAACTCCTTAAGTTAAAAAATTTTAAATGTTAAATAACATGATACATGAAATCATCACTCTTGGATACTAGGGTCTAGGGCAAAGATCTCATGTATTACAGATTAATAATATATCCCACCCACTGAATCCCTTCCTCAATAGATATATATATGGTAGACTCTCATCACATCCCGATAAACAGCCAATTAAGTTTTTGAAATAATGATCAAAATTTCTCACCTAAATCAAACAAAACCCTACTCAACAACAGAGATATACATGGTACCATTGAATCTCTGGCAAGAGAGAGCCATTTAATTCTGAATGTAGTAAACAGATAGCAAACATAACAATAATATAAATCCATGACCAAAAATGCGAGTGCACATCCGGATTACACCACACTACAAATGTCTTTAGAGATCTAAAGTATTAAAACCACTCCACTAAGCAACAAAGCCTTTGGTTTTACTTCTTACAATAGTTTAGAAACAGAATAACTAGAAATGATGCAGAAACTTCCAAACCAAACACATAGAACAACTGGGCTAGCACCTACTTGATCTTCTTCTTTGGCCTCAACTGCAACACACACAAAACGAATTTCTCAATTTTTTGTAAAAAAAATCATTATTTGTAAACAGAAGAAACATTTAAAAATGCAAGACTTGCAGAAAAAAAAAGTGCAAGGAATAGAAACCTGGTTGCTGTGGCCACACTTCTTCTTCCTGCAGTTTACTGCCCTTGGGTGCAAACGTGCATAGCACCTGCAAACAAGCAGTTTTTGTTAAAATATGGAAGGAATCTAAACAAATTTGTTATTGGTTAAACTTATATAATGTGATTAAAACCCTTTAAGAATTGACAAAATCATCATATTCATTCATGACAACCATTGGATAGAAAGAGGAATACAGAACAAAAAAAAGAACTCACTTGCGGCAAATGGTCTTGTCTTGGTTGTATTTCCTAGCCAAAGCCATCAAAGAGGGCTCAATGATTCCTCCTCTTAGCCTCAACACCAAATGAAGAGTTGATTCTGAATCAGAATAAAATATAGCATAATCAGCAACTCAGTATCACAATCAAAATAACAGCTTTATATTGTAAAATCTGAGTAACTATTGCACAATTGATCAGAAATGACTTTGAATGTTATAAGCAGCAAGAGTTCTAAAGGATCATGTCTGTTCCAAATAAGAAAGAACATATTTTTATAAACATCTATGCTGCATATCTGACCAATAGATAATAATTACAATTGCGGTTGTGAAACTTTAAGAACGTAAACGATCTGATACGAAAACATACCTCGAAAGGATCATGTATGCTACAATTTACGAATATCATCTGGGATTCTTAGAATCAGGTTGCAAATCAAACAATAACAATAATAAAATGGGATAAGACGAACCTTTCTGGATGTTATAGTCAGCAAGAGTTCGGCCATCTTCAAGCTGCTTTCCGGCAAAGATCAATCGCTGCTGATCCGGTGGAATACCTATAATTTCAAAAGGTACAAACACAATCGTATCAAGGTGAAAGAAAATTTCAATTCCATAATAACATAGAAAAGAATAGAACTACGTACCTTCCTTGTCTTGAATTTTAGCCTTGACATTGTCAATGGTGTCACTGCTCTCAACCTCGAGAGTAATGGTCTTCCCGGTTAGGGTTTTGACGAAAATCTGCATCTTTCCGTTTCTCTATCTCTTTCACTTTGCCGAGGCTGATTATTGTTTGTTATGAGGTTTTTATACTCTGGTTTGTAATTAGGGTTTGGAGTTGTACCTTTTTGTTAATAAAAGTTTCAAGCCCATCTTTTTCAATTCTTGGGCTTACCCTACTCTTGAGTCTTGAAGTATATATGGACTATGACTCTATGATTGTGAAACATATTTAACATTTTTTCATAATATTTTGATTTTGACTAACAAGGATTTTTTATAATCATGTGATAAAATACATTTATGATTAAATACAATATTACGTAAATTTGTAAAAGAAATATTAATTTGTTGTATCATATAAGAATTTTATATATTAAATGTTTTTATTCATCAAGTCAGTTAAGAGATTCAACATTGATTTTGGTGTATAAAAATTCATGTGAGGCATGTCATAGTTTTTTTTTTTTTTTTTTGAGCTCATGTTTGGTAAATCAGAAAATAAGTTCTAAGATGTAGGCTTTTCAACGAACTTATGAAACTTTTTAACAATTGTCGCAAATATATCTTTATCTTTTTATAATAAACCAAGAAAAAGTATCCCGTGATTTACAACACATACTAAAGTATACATCATTACATCATATCTAATTTTAATTGTGTTATCATTTTCCTATAAAATTGTTTTCACAAGTCACAAAGTTGAGTATTCGAAAATGCTTGAAAAGTCAAAGGATAGAAATTTATGGGTAATGTAGGATTTAATACCCATGAATCAAGTCGATACAAGGGCATTAGCTACCAACAAATTTGCAAATGCTTCCACAATAGAAAAATCTTCGTGATTTACGTGTCAAAATTTGATAAGAATACTTAAATAGATGTGATAATGATGATATTTGTCTTTCAAAATTATTTTGAAATAATGTTGATGTGATTTTCAACATTGTTCAATAACATGATATAACAAATGAAAGAATCAGGCGATCATTCAAGATTTAACCATAAATCATAATAACATTGAAAGAGATGACATTAGATACAAGAATAAATAAAAAAAATAGTCATGATAACATTGTAAATATGATATAAGATTACACAATGCACTTTTATTTAATTTAATGAAGTATATTATGCATTTTGTCTTATTATATTGAATGATTTTTCTACATGCATTTTTGTCATTTTATGTTTTTAGCTATTTTTACAAAATATCATTCAACCAGCTTTTTAGCAAACAAATTTTTTAGTTAATATGTCAAACATTGCCTTAGCATTTTCTTTTAGAATACACGTCCTTCAAACATTATTATCTCCCAAATACTCATTAAGCTATGCACCAAAATTAGACCATCCATATCTTTGAGTATTCGGTTTATAAGTTTAAGTTTATATTTTTTTCAGTTTTAGAATATGTGATCATAATATGGTAAGCAATATTTATACTAGAAGCGTACTTATAGCATATCTTTTATGTATTCTTAACTTGTATGTCCTACTAATTTTGAATCGGATCAACTATAGATTATAAGGTTGTGATGAACACACTAACTAATAACTAAAAAAGTAGTTTTTCTCTGTTAAGCTAGTCGGTAAAGTAATAAAATTTGGTGAATACTATTTGATAAACAAATATCAAATATAAAATGACATATATCATGAGATAGATTTATTCAGTAAACAGTTGTATATAACTTTTTTCTCTTGTATATATAAGGCGTATACTACACACAACATATCACCAGTAAAAGCTTTGATACGTATATCATGTTTATCTAAACGGAAAATTATCATCAATTCATAACAATTATCAGAATACAAATTTTGTTATTATACTGTCTTCTCTCTACACTTGTAGACCCAATAAAACATCATTCCCCAAGAAGCTCTTTAGTCAAATGGGTCAATTCTGTGATCATGCTCACTCGCCATTACCATTCCTGTGCACAAACATGTCGGGCACATTACCTGAACCCACAACAAATGACTATTTTACCCTCACTTTCCAAAAACAAGTTTCACAATACTAATCAATCATAACAATCTCCATCGATTTTGACATGAGACGAGTTCATTTTTTGGCTTAACCCATTAAGTCAAAAAAAAAAAAAAAAAGGTTTTGAGTACCTTTCCAGCTCCAGAACAATTGAGACACCTTTTTGTAGTGGGAGCTCTTAATGGACGATCTGAAGCATTTGATACAGAAATCGGCTCTATGTTTACACACACCCCACTAGAAGAACAACGTGCACATGCCAAGTATCCTATAAATTGTAATTGATTCAAATTCACATTAAATCTCAAAACAAGGGCATATATGGTAATGCTGCTCCTCACTATAGAAAACTTACCAGTTCCATGACAATACTTGCACCTTTTCTTCTCTTGTTGCTTCACATTATTAGCTTCAAGCAACATCAGAGTGGAAATTACGCCCACTGCCCCTCCCGAAAAAGATGCCACTATCGGATCAACCTCACTGAAATTAATATAGAAAAAGTTTCTTTTTTTTGTTCCACTTTGAAAAAATCAAACTTTTATTAGTTTTTGTATGAGATAGTAACTGATTCACACGCACCTTAGTTGCATAGGTAGATGCATATGGGTTATGAAATCTTTATATGAGGTTCCACCTACACCTAGTTTTAGCTCCAGCTGATATGAAAATAATGTTTCTTGTTACAATTACATATGAAAATATGAAATAACTTGGAAGAAGAATAATCATTTGAGTAGATGTAAGATGTAGATAAACTTACTATTGGTGCGAGAAGGCCACCAAAGACTATAACTCCTGATATAAATGAAAAACTTGTCAAATATAGCTGCTTCAATGTCTTTGGTGTCTATAGAAGATAAGAAAAATAAAGACTTGTTAGCATCTAAACTTCTAAACAGTTGCTTGTAAATTGTAATACACCATAAAAGAAAGTGTGATTTACCACTGAAGGTAGAAAAGGAATTGAAGATGGAATGTCAGGCATCTCGTTGTCCTCAAATCTGCTCTCATTTCGTTTTAGGTTTTTTAAGCGTTGTTGCACTCGTAACCTTCTCACCTGTGAATTTGAACAATTCAATTTTTGTGCAGACAAGAAGTTTGAAAGGAGGAGAAATGGTATCATGTTGTAGACAAAGAATGGTTTCAGATTGAAAATCGTACCTCTTCCATGAGGAGGAAGATCTTATTGCGTCTACTCCTTATGTTGTCTTGGATTTCCTTGGTCTGCATCTGAATAAAATCCTTAACAGTCTCTGGACTTTCTATAATGCAAAAGTTGCTGCATCGGCGATAATTGTGAAAGTAAGTATATATTCCTCTTTTATTGAGTTGAGATTTTACTGGAACATGCTGTGTATGTATTTAACTTCATTAACAAGCATCAATTTACTCAGAGAAAGATAATTTGATTTTGTTTTTGTATGAAAGAAGAAATCAGAGAGTATACAGAAGACTAAATCTGGTTCATATAATCAAAGTGGCTATTTCATGTAATTGAAAAAAAAAAAAAAAAGGAGGTTGGATATAGAAACATACCTGGGGATGTTATCGCCAGAGGGTACAGAACCGGACGCGGCTGAATCATCTGAAGAACAACAGATAACTGAAGCTCGTGAATTGTTCTTTTCTCGACGTCGGCTAGGCTTTACGCACTTCAATCGAATTATGCGTTTGGATGAACTTAAATTGAAAGAATTGTTGTTATTGATAGAGGAGGGAAGAAGGTAGCATTTGAGAGAAATAGAAGCCATGGTGGTCGATCCAAGATTCCAAGTATGGTAGAATTGAAGACGAATAACAGTTGTTCGAGGGAAGTGTTAGGAAGATAAAGGAAAAAAAGGGTAAGGGTTTTTGTCAGCTGATGGAGTTAGGATCTTTCACAGCATCTCCTCCATTAATGAAATCACGCTAGCGTTTCGTCGTTACTCCAGTTTTGGCAAATGAAAGCTTTTTAAACCCTCAATTTCGACGTGGTGCATCATTATTCGCTAGACCATGTCAAAATGCCCATTCCTTGCATCAAATCAAAATTATATTTATACGGGTAAGTTGCAGATTTATCTTTTTTATTTTATTTTTGGATTTAGTTTAAAACCCTTCAACTTACATCACAAATCCAAAACAATGTATGTTTCCTTATTAAATTTTTTTATATATATTTTGTCTATACCGAACTTAAAATAAAATGACAATATGCTCCTTAGATAACTATGACACACATTGTAAAGATTAGCTATACTTTGAGCATTACATACACATTCAACAACCATGTCTCACTAGCCTTAGCCACGTTTCTGTTTACAATATTTAGATACGCTTGTTCTTGGTTTTCTTTACAGTGGGATCTTATTAAGTTGATCTAGAATGGTCTTCTTCTTCAGCTTTTCTCCATAGGTTTTTCTCATCTCGAACAAAAACAACTAGCAACTACAAATAGGTGGTAGTTCCCACCCAAACTGAACACAATTTCAAAGCAAGGATCGGTGGGTCATGTATATGCAAAATTTTTACATATGTAGAATGTTTACCTATCTTAGAGAGCTTGACACAGATTCATCACATATTCTTCACAGATCCTTAGGTTGAATTGATCAATGGAAATTCTTCATTTACATTAACACCAAAAAACATTCAACATCATATTTATTACCAAAGGATTTTGATGTACATAGTACATCTTCGTTCGTAGTAGCCTCCTAGCCTCTAATCCTGTAACGACCCGATTTATCAAAGGAAAATTTTCATTATTGATTATCCAAACACATTTCCATAAATTACAAAATCTCATGTATATATATATATATATATATATATATATATATATATATATATATATATATATATATAATTGTTTTCGAACTCATATCAATTACAACTTTTATTTAAAATATCAGAGTGTCCATAAAACGATTGTGTGAGAATGCACGCCGCACCATCATGCCTTGCCATTGCCCTTAGGATCCGATGTACCTGAAACAAATCCACAACCTGTAAGATAATGCGTAATGAGTTCCCCATAGCATACCTCACACACAATCCATG